TAATTATATCAGCCCGAGACTAAGGGCATACTCGGCCTCAGACTTTTTCGATTGCACTCTGCACGTGATTGCGGTCAGATGCATCCAGCTCCGGCCGCAATTCCTCTCAGTCAGATTCAGTGAAGTGTCATTGTGAGTATGCCCTAAGGAATAACATGAAACAGGACCATCTGGCCTAGTAGCTCAGTTGGTACACCCCCCCTGGACTGAACTGTTGAAATACAGACCAGGTGCTGAGTTCGAACTCCACTGGAAGCAGATGAGTCAGATGAGTAACATACTTCAATAATTCTGAAATTGCCTAGTACCGTCTGCACCCGAATAGAACGCCGGGTCATTATCAGATACAGCTATAATGACCGGGCAGTAGGGCCCGTCAGTTCGATAAATTAATGGTATCTCAAGGCCGTTGCACATTTCTAAAGAGGGAAGAAGACAACATGAAACAGGACCGTCACAAAATATATACAGAGATAGATTAAGAGAAGAGTAAAAATGAGTTAAAAAAAATAAAAATAAAAAAAATCCATGGAGTACTAGATGGAAACCCGCAGAGGAGTAAACCTGCAGCCGTGCTACCGGCTGTCCCCCGGCCGGTGTCCCGCATTGGGGGTTCCCTGGGCTGGTTAGTACGATGATAATACCTCACAACGCCATCGCCCTTTTTTTTTCTTCTTTTTTTTTTCTTGTTTTCCCTAAACCCGCAGAGGAACACTGTGAGCACTGTGCATTGATTCAACCCTGAACCAAGACGGAAAAGCATGCCGTGTTCGACCGTTGCCGCAGCGAACACACAGAGAAAAACAGCAAGAAGAAAGAATGAAAAGCAGCGCCCAAATTTAAAAAAGAAAAAAAAAGAAAAGAAAAAAAAAAGCAGCAGCTGCTAAACATCTGCTTCGGAACACTACAATCAATTGCATTTCAAGCAACAATACACATCCTCGTTGTCAGGAAAAAAAAAAAAAAAAAAAAAAAAAAAAAAAAATATTTTTTTTTTTTTTTTTTTTTTTTTTTTTTGAAGAGTCGTTAGCTTTTATTTTATTACAAACGAATGGAGGCCGGGAATTCCTCACAAACAACCCGGAAGATATAGAACCAATAGGCTAAGCTCAAAGGAATTCCATGGAGAAACAAGACACCGTCTAGTTGGTGCTAAAGTTCGGGCTGCGGTGTCTTCAGGAGGCCAACCTCGCACCTATTATGGGTAGTAGTAGCTTTGGAAGAAGTGTCTCAATCAGGACATGTTCCACGCAGAGATGCAGAAAAGCGGATCAATTACAGTTTTTTGCACCTCTCCACAAACACGTCCAGATTCAGACACTTATTCCAATTATTTTCGCCAGTGGGATCTGCGTCTTAGGATCCTCCCTACTACAATCAAACAGGGCTTCCCATCCTTCGGGACATCCGTTAAAATTGGAACGATACACAGAAGATAGATTATTAGCATGGCCCCTCTGCGCAAGGATGACACGCATAAATCGAGAAATGGTCCAAATTATTTGAAAAAAAAAAAAAAAAAAAAAAAAAACACGACTTCCCCTCCACGTAGGGAACAGCTACCCCTACGGTAGTCACACGCACTGTGTAGTATCTGCCGGCTGTGTAGCCTTGGACGGTCTGTTGTACCTGGGGCCTACAGTAGTTCCGTGGGCACAAGGAATTGGGTTTAATTCGCGAATCTGGATGTGTTTTGGGCAGAGATGCAGAAAAGCAGATCGATCGCAATTCTCTGCCTCTCTCCAGAAACACGTCCAGATTCAGGAATGTAATCCAATCGTCTTTGCTGGTGGGACCAGACCCCTGGAAACCACATACCCATGCGGAATTAACGCCACGCCACTGTTAAAACGGACAAAGTGCAAGTGCATCTTCCAGAGAAAGAGGCAAGATGCATCCAGTACAATCTATAGCAAAGGATATACATCTGGCCACTTTCTGAGGAAGATGCACTCGTGATATTTTCGTTTGTATTGTACAGCGGTGTGGCCAGGCCATTATTATTTTTTTTTTTTTTTAATTCTTTAGTACTCAAATTTGACGGGGCTACACAAAATTTCTCTTTTCTTTCAAGTTCAATGTTTTTGGGCTAACAGATTCCGCACCAGTCCCATAAAAAAAAGAAGAGGAAAAAAAAAAACACAGCATCAGCATCAAGGTATCAGCATCAAGGTTTCCTCTTAATTTTTTTTCCCCCTTCATAAAATTACAATTACATTACTCAATATCAGCAGAATGTTGCCGTCAAATCTACGAATCCCCTTGACCGCGGTCGCGGCCGTGGGGTGGGGTTCCGCAGATCGGGGTCGGGATTCCGGGACCCTGGCCCGGCACCTCGAAGAGTCTACTCTCTCTCTCTCTCTCTCTCTCTCTCTCTCTCTCTCTCTCACACACACACACACACACACACACACACACAGACACTCTTACTTTCCGAAGTTTCCGGGAATGCTGAGGGCCAAAACGACAGGTAGGGAGAAGGGAGGGAGCTGCGGGTACAGAAGGTGCACACGTGGTCCTCACTCATCTCTTCAATTCGGGGGAAAGGGATCACGCGGGCATGCTGCTCATTTCCTCAAACAGAGCTGGCCGGTAAACCGTAGTTAGAGAGGGAGAGTGAGGGAGAAGAGGACAACAAACGAGGGGCTGTGACAAACTGTTTCATCGAAGTTTCACCGACTAATCAGGAGGCTGAACCCTCAACAGTCTGAACAATCCCCTGACATATATGTATATATACATTATTCTCCCATCTTCCAGGGTTGTACCCGTCCTCCACCTCTGCTTCTCCTCCCCTCTTTCCCGCCCCTCTGTCCCCTGGAGACTGCACAGACTGTACTTGGCGGTCTTGAATGGGCACTTCGGCGGATGACGAACGCCCCTTCAAGACCGCTAAGGACAGTCTGTGCGTTCGTCATCTGCCGAAGCGCCCATTGAAAGATCATGGGTTCGAATCGGATGGATGCACTTTGCCTTTTTTTCTTTCTTTTTTTCTTTTCCTTTTTTCCTTTTTTGACCATGTATACAGGATAACCATGCGCAGGGCCACGCTATGCTAACCTTCCCTAACACTAGTTAGGGCATTTTCACACGAGGGGTCGTTTTCGCAAAATCGTGAAATATGCGGTCCGTTTGCAGTCACACTTTGCCCCCGCCCCCAGCAAAATCGCAAACAGTGTATTACATGACAGCGGCCTGCTGGGCCGCGGGGTGCAGCAATTTTTGCAACGAGGGAATTTCTTCAGAAAGGGCCCGGCCGCACCACTGTAGAGAATGCAATTTTGGACAGTTTCTCTTTGCCACACAGGCTGTCGAAGTCGGAGATGGGAAAAAAGTTCTCCAGTTGTCAGAGCATGCTTCTCGACAGCTCCTGTCGAAAGTTGTTGAATCCCCAGCCTGCTACTCCCATGCTTTCGACACTCCTCGGCTGCGCTGTCCACCTGAAGTTGTTTCACATATAGTCTCTGAGGATCCTACACAGACATATGTTGGTTTCCTGCGGATTATGCCCATTACATTTCAGTAAGGTGAACTCGTACATGTATAGAATTTGACACACAAAACAAAGGGCCGAAGGCCAGAGCACGTTCGACTTCTCTTCGAAATTTGGTGAGGGGCGGTAAGGTCGGGATGGACTAATGGTTGTCGTACCCTCTGGCCCGTTTGTCTTTTTCCATCTTGCATTCACAAGTGCGTGTGGCGAATTTGTTCTGACAGCCATTGAATTTTTTCGCCTTTCGACTGTGGTGCGGCGAGGCCCAAAAGAAAAGGAAATTGGGCGACGGG